CAAGAGTTTGAGCTCTGAGCAACAGCGGTTCGAGTCCAGCCCGAGCTGAGCAGCCGCTGAGCTGCCAACAGGTGGCAGGATGGCTCAGCTAAAAAATAAATAAATAAATAAAAATAAAATAAATAAATAGTATGTATGGGAATTCTCAACTTTTCTATTTTGAAATTATTTGATTAGCTGGTAAGTTTTAAGACTTAGAGAAGTACAAGAGAAAAATATAAGGTATACATTTGGACATTCATTTTTTTCAAGAGAAGAAAACAATTCCATAATTTAGGTTATATTCAAAATCATAGGATTTCAGAAAAAAGAAGGAAGCTAAGAATTATTACTTTTTATGTGCCAGGCACTGTCCTTAAATAAAGAGCTAGACCATGTCCAATTGCACACAGCTAATAGATGGCACAATCAGGAGTTGAACTAGACTCTCTGACCTTCTCTTAGGGCAAAAAAGAATAATTGGTTTCAACTTTTCTAATTTTATTATTGAAGAAACAGGCTCACAGTTTATTACCCTTAAAAGCAGTTAGATAAAAGTATCAGAGCCAGAATAAGAAATAGCTTCCTGAGTACTAGTTTCATTAGGTTAATATTATATATATAAATAGACTATCTTATTTTGATTATATTTCAAAATCGGTTTCTTTAAATAGATTTGACACTTGGCTAATAACTATTCTCTAATTATTTTCCCTGAGGATCAACTTGTATTACATTTTATTTGTTTTTGAATTAGACATGATGAGCTTAATTAAGGGACACTTTTATTAATTTGAAAGCATAACTTCCAAGTAAACCCAACATCAGACACATCTTGAGTAGTTTAGTCACTTGAACTAGAATAATTTGAACTGAATTTATTAGGTTATGTTAACCTAAATTCTCATTCTCCATGGATGATTTTACTGCAGCTTCATACAGTACTTTCATAACCTCACAAACCGCAAACTATAAGTAAGACACTTGTTTAGGGGGATATAAATATGACTCAAGTCATCACTAGTCTCAGAAAATACCCACTCTAGTACAAGAGATACACACGTAAACAATTACATGTAAATTCAAGACAGAATGGAAAAAGAACTTTGGATGAGGTTCCGAGCTTGCCCTCTTGACTATAATTATAAATTATCAAAGTACAGAACATGAAATTCCTAAAAGACTTCATATGGAGTTATATTCTATGGAGAGATTATTTTATTTTTCCTAAGAAATTCCAATGTTTTGTTTAAAATACAGTTATCCTTTTTTTTTTGACAGAAAAAAACTCAGTTTCTTTACCATTTTAAAATGGAAATTTGAGCTTTTGACTTTAAATTTTTCAAAGATCTCTTCATCCTGCCTTTGCTGAAGAATTCTGTAGAGGTATAGGAAAATGTTAATTTGGCCAATTTGAACTGATTTAACATTTTTTTATCCATTTGTTAAGCTGACTTTAAATAAAAATCTGGTCTCATCTTTTATGTCAGTGTTATTTCATGAATGATTCCCACCCTATTAGCATGCATCTGCCAACAGTCTATCCTGTTAACTAAATACTAATTTTTTTTTTTTTTTTTTAAGCTGAGCCATCCTGCTACCTATTGGTAGCTTAGCGGCTGCTCAGCTCAGGCTGGCATCGAACCGCTGTTGCTCAGAGCTCAAACTCTTGAGCGAGCTCTTAACCAACTGAGCCACTCGCCGGCCCTTTAAATACTAATTTTTGAGCTGTTGGCATGGTTACTGTTGAATTTTTTTTCAGTGTAAAATCACAAAAAACACAGCCTTGGTTTGTATAAATTTTTCTAGTAAACTGGAAATATGCATTTGCACATATATTGTTTTAAACTTCATTTATTTAGTAACTTGCAGTCTGCAAGCTTAAGATTTTATATGTAATTTTTACTATCAAAAGGCATTAAAAAGCTCTCAAATTTCAACACGCTAGAGCTGGGGTCGGCAAACCTTTGAGATGGAAGAGCCAATCCTGCCCCTAACAACAATTAAAAAATTATTTGAAAGCCATAAAACAAATGAAATCACCATTATGTGAATAATATCCTTTAAAAATTTTATAAATGAAACTATGATAGTTTTATTTTCATTTTCAATTTTACTTCAGAGCCACATGTATGTACCCAAATAATCGCATGTGGCTCGCAAGCCAGTTTGCCGACCCCTGCTCTAGAGTTATGAGCCATGTTTAGTAGTCAAGAGTAGGATAGAATTTTGAAATGAGTGGCAAGCCAAAGAAAAATCCACTTTTTGAAGTGTTTATATTATTTATTGTGTCAATTTTTGAAATAAGTGAAAAGGAATATCCCTAAGCTTTTCTTTAGCTTCACTATTTAGAATAAAATCAGTCTGATAAGGCAGAATTAAAAATTTTTTTTACATTTCATGGGTTATATTAAAATCAATATTAGAATAAAGTGAAGTTTTAGGTCATTTATTTTTAAAAAGTAATTTCTCAGATTTTTTTTAAAGCTCCTGGAGCTTTTTGATAGTGAAGATCCCAGAGAACGTGACTTTCTGAAGACTGTTCTGCATCGAATTTATGGGAAATTCCTTGGATTAAGAGCATTCATCAGAAAACAAATTAACAACATTTTCCTCAGGTAAATTGATCATATATTCATATATAGCCCTTTCTTTCCTTTCATATTTCTTTTTATTCCAGTTCATTTAGGTTAGTTTTTAATATCTGAAATCTACAAATTTAACTGATAGTATTTGATTCATTTTTAGCCTGTTTTGTGGATGTCATTTAATTCCATCTAACTTTTTAGAAATTTGTAACCTACTCCTCCTCTAAGTGGATAGTGGTAATGAAGAGTTTTTAATAGGTAATACCAGTGCTATTCGTGTTTAAGATTTGTGAAAAGGAGAATTTGTGTAGTTACCTATTTTTTCGAGCTTTTTGTTGGAAAAATTTCTGTATAAATACTTGGAAATGCTTTAAATTTACAGGGGGCCTATCTTTGACTATTTTATAAATGATAGTCTATTAGTAGTTGCTTCAAATTAGGAGATTTCACTTCAATACCCACACTTCAGGTTGTTTTAATTGAAGATCTGACAAAATTAGGGTAGCATTTCCACATTGTAACAATTAGAGATGAGTAATAGCTACTGCCTCCTGTAGAGATCGAGTCTTTCTCCAGCTCTCAGTCATCCTCTCCTAAGTCCACCTCAGCCTCTGATACCTTCCCTGTCCTGTTGTCATTTGAGTTGGACTCCCTGCTTTAAAGATGATCCTAATCTTGGAAAACTAGGTAGTCCATGTAGTTTAGGTTTAGAGAAATTCTGAATAAAATTGGCTGTATTACATATGGGTCCTTTTCTCTTGGATTTTCCTATGAATAGTTGTTTCCTATTTTGAAAAGTATTCCCTTGAGAAAACCCATCTTTCACATTTTTAAGTAAAATAAAATATTCCAGGTGAAATTATATTCTGTTATCTTAACATATAGCAAGTTTTAGCAAAAGTATATGTTTAAATAGGAAATATTTTCAAGTATCTGGTGTAGTAGGAAATAGACCTTTTATAAGATTGCTAAGAAGTAACTGATTTGGGGTAAAATAGTTTACAAACAATTCTTACAGCATGTTTGAGCTATTCTTATAGTTGTTCTTTGGGTTGATTTCTTTACCTTCCTGCCCAGTTTAGCTTTCTGATGTTTGATTTTTCATTATATCTTTATTTTAAATTTAGGTTTATATATGAAACAGAACATTTCAATGGTGTTGCTGAGCTCCTTGAAATATTAGGAAGGTAGGTCAGTTTTTTTTGTTCTTTTAAACAAGTAACTTTGGCCAGAATAAAGAATGAAATCTTAACCATTTGTGACAACATGGATGGACCTAGATAGAGGGTGTTATGCTAAGCGAAATAAGACAGACAAATACCAAGTGATCTCACTTATATATGTGGAATCGAAAGAACAAATGAGCAAACCAAACAGAAACAGACTCATAGATACAGAGAACAAACTGATGGTTGCTAGAGGGGATGGGAGTTTGGGAGCTTGTTGAAAAAAGTGAGGGAATTAAGAAATACAAATTGGTATTACGAAACAGTCACGGGGATGTAAAGTACAGCATAGGGAATATAATCAATAATGTTGCAACAACTGTGTATAGTGCCAGGTGGGTACTAAATTATGTAAATTTCTAACCACTGTGCTATACACCTGAAAGTAATGTAAAATAATACTGAATGTCAGTAACTGAAAAAAAAATATTTTTAAAAGATTAAATTATTGAATATTTTATGTATTAAAATCTTAACTATGATTGGAGAAATTATTTCATATTTTAGAGTTTTAAAATAGGGCACAAGACATGGTCTCTCAACTGAATTCGTACAGCTTTTGAGGGGGTCAGCATAGTACAGTACTGCCATTTAAGACATCTGTTTCAGAATAGGCTTCCTGCTTTTGAAGCTATGGCATGTTTTATGCCTGATTTTGGCAGGCTGCCTCACAAATTTATAGGATCTGATTGGGAAGAAATGAAATAAGCTCTAAGTGAATCTTTGATGAAGTTACAAGAATTCTTATTAAGATGTGATAGACCATTCTTAATCCATCTGTTCATTATAGAAGAATCTACAGCCTTTGATTTTAGTTTACATAAACAGTTTGCCTTCCCTAAGCAGAATAGTTAATACTGCTATTCACCACATAGCAGTATTAACTTGAGAGAAGTTTAGATCCCTCTATTTGTATTAGAGAATGATTATGGAGAGAACTACTTCTTAATTTCAGATCCTTTAATAAACTAAGAGAAACTACCCATTTACTTCAGAAAATACTGAAACTTCTTAACTATATTGTGATATTTCCTCTCCTGTGGCTTTGGGGAGGAAAAATAAAGGCAACAATGTATAAATAAAGTGACAGGCTTTTCATAGAAAGATGAAGATAGAATTGCTTACCAGGACATTCATTGGCCGTCTTAGTTTTCTTTGGGGATCATTGAATAACAGAGGAAAGACTTTATAGTAATAACCTGTCTAAAGTAGTTTGAAGATGAGTAATTCCCCACCAGGACTGAAGCAGAGCACACTGTTCCTTATGTACTCTCATGGATATAATAACTTTTACAAATAAAGTAGTAACTACTTAACCCTTCCCCTGCCTTTTTTTCCCTCCAGTATTATCAATGGTTTTGCATTGCCACTGAAAGCAGAACATAAACAATTTCTAATGAAGGTTCTTATTCCTATGCATACTGCAAAAGGATTAGCTTTGTTTCATGCTCAGGTAAGTTTCAGAAAATTTTCACATGATTGTTTCAAAGACTGATATAAAGGCAGAGAAACTGAGAAATACTGAGATGGCAATTTTAAGTATAATTAGGCAATTTACTTTGTAAGTTGCCCAAAGCAAATTTTTATTATAATGTAAAAGTATTATATTTAGTGTTATTCAATAAGCTCAATGCATATTAAGTATATAGGAAAGATAATATCATGTTCTTTTATAGTCCAAACCCTAACCTAATTAACTACGTGATGTTCAGTCCCACAAATCTGTAGAATGTTCCATCTAGCTGTGATAACCTAGTTAGAGAATGATGTTAAGTCTCCTCTATTAATATTTAGAGAATACTACATATCATCATAGGCAAAAATGTAGAAACATGTTGAAAAAGTAAAATGTTAGCTCTAGTACTATTTCAGTTAACTTTATATTCAGAAGTTACTACTGATAAAAGAACATCTTTTTTGAACTAGAAGTTACTTTCAAGGTTAAAAAGTTACACAATTGTGAGTATGTTAATTTTATATATAGAGAGATTAAACTAGAGTAAAATCTATCAAAATGAGGTAGTCATTTTTGTTAAATATAAAAATCCTGCATCTCTAAATGTCATTTCACTCACTAAACGTCATTTCACTCACTAATATTTATAAACTGTCTGTTACATTTTAGCTAGCCTACTGTGTTGTACAGTTCCTGGAGAAAGATACAACACTAACTGAACCAGTAAGTATTCTATTTATTTTTATGCTTTTGGTATACATTGTGGTATTTCATTGTACTTTTCTTTATACTGTTATATACCATTATAGAATTATCAAACATTAGTAGTAATGTACTTGAATCATTTAGAAGGAATGTGAGGTGAATCCGCATTCAAAGAACAGGGTTGGGAGGGAGAGTTCTCATGAGTTATATGTCTCGAATAACTTAAATATAGATTAATACTAACATATAGTAGTTGAGATGTGTGGTGACAGGACCAAATGTTGCAGTGAAATAATATACATATTATCTTCACTGATAATCTTCTCAGTCTGCATTCACCTTTTAAAATTAAAACATACTGTGGAAGTCCCAAAATTATTCCGTTGAGTTTTGTCTTTATAAATAGGATTTTCCCTCTTATGCATGATAAACTACATGACAGGGATTGAAAACATCTTGCCTTTGGTAATTTTAGATACAATCTTGGAATAAAAGTTGTTTCCTTTATGAATCAGAATGGCAGTTCAGTATTTGAATTCTGCTTACTGTTTGACTATCATGTGAAGATTCAGGAGAAAATAAAAATGTTATGAAAATTGAAGATTCAAGAAAAACAAAAGGTAGGGAGAAATAGAAAAGTATAAAAGCATTGAAAACAAAACTTTAACCTTAGTGAACTAAATATATTGGGAGTGTTTTCTAGATATCCTAAATCTAAATATGAAACCAAGCGTTCTTGAATAGCAGAGAGTTCAAAGGATTTAAACTATGAATTTTCTTTATAGTATAAATATTCTGAGTCCACCCCTAAGGGTGCTTGGAAGTATTCCCCCTGTGATTTGACCTTTGTCTGTGTAAAGGAATAAAATACATTTTTTCACTCCCTGATAATTTGAGTTTTTAGACTTTTAGAGTTGCAGTTCTTTATGGAAAAAGCTAAAAACAGTTTTAAAACACAAATCAGGAGAATTATAAGCCCAATATTTACATGAAACTACATAAATCTCTAAAGTGAATTAAACTTAATAGGAATCCATAACTCTCACAGGAAAGTAAGTCATGGTTCATGCTTGGTGAGTGGTAAACATATAATTTAAATCTGTTAAATTAATATGGGGTTATCAGATAGGGGGATGAGGGATTTCTTTTTAAAGAGAAGATTAGGGAGAGGGATGATGGCCAGACGCCTGGCTTAGGTGAGTCAGATTAATGGAATTAGGAGCAGGATGAGGAGACAGTAAGGTTAATGGCCAGATCTGTAGATAAAAAAGACCTTGTAGTTTCTACCATAGGCCAGTTCCAGCACCAAAATTATGGCTGTTACTTGGGTCTGAGCCTTAATACTAATTTTCTAGAAACCCGGCATTCATATGAAAGCTTCCTGCAAATTTTAAATAAGTCAGAACTTTGGCTAGTTTATTACATTTTTTATGTACCAAATCGTGTATTGAAACTATATTATTTTCTACAATGGAAATGACTTTATTGTTACTTTTATTTATGAAAGTAGTGTGTTAATTTGGTTCACACAATACAAAATCATAAAGCACAACGTGGAGGAGGTTCCTTGAAATCTTGTCCCATAGAAATAACCATAAAAGTTGGTGAATATATTTCTAGAAATGTTTTCTATATTTATGTGTAGGTTAAATAAATGGTGAGACAGTGCTGACCAGTTTTTTCCTCTCAGTATAACGTGGATGTCTTTCCATATAAAGCTGCTTCACTTATTCATTGGTAGCCTCAGCTTCCATTATGTGGATTACCCTAACATATTTCATCAACCCTCCATTAACGGGCACTTGAATTATTGGACTTTTTTCATTGTTAACAAAAACATCGCTAGTGAAGGGATGTTTTAGGGTGTTGGAATTGTTCTGTGCTCTGTTTGTGGTATTGGTTACAAAAAAAAAAAAGTCTGTGTGTATAAAACCACTCAGAACTGTACACTAAAAAATTTTTTTTTACTGAATGTAAATTTTTAAAAATCAAGTAATTAAAATCATGTTGCTGGGTCAAAGAGTACACGGAAATTTAAACGTATTCCAAGTTGCCTTCCAAAAAGTTTGAACAATTTAATGTTCCAATCCAGAGTATAAAGGTGCCTATTTTCTCTCAAATATTAAGTTTAAAAATTTTTGCTAGTTCATAATAGGTATGAAATATTTTAATTGGCTTATTTTTATTATAGGGATTGAGCCATCCTTTTATGTGGTTATTGATCATTTATATTTCTGTGTCCTTTGCCTTTTTAACCCTTTTCCCTATTTTAGAATTTTTTTTTTTATCCATTTGGAGTGTTTAACTTTGAATACACAATGTTTAATCTCTGCCTTAAAAAACTAAAAAAAAATTTTTTTTTTATGTAGTAGAGTATTTGTCATTATGGCTTCTGGCCTTGCTGTCACACTAAGAAACACCTACCTTGAGATTATAAAACTATTCTCAAGTATCATACTCTGGTTATTTTATGGATTTCGTGTTTTTACCTGTAAAAACTTTATTCCATCTATAATGGTTTCCTAGGGCTGCCATGACCAATTACCACAAACCTAGTGGCTTAAAGTAACAGAAATTTATTCTCTCACAGTTCTGAAGGCCAGAAGTCCAAAATCAAGGTGTCGGCAGGGCTGCACTCCCTCCAGATGCTCTAGGGGAGATTCCGTTCCTTGCCAGTTTCTGGTGTCTCCAGGTGTTCCTTGGCTTGTGGCTGCATCGCTCCAATCTCACATTGCTGCCTCTTCTTCTGTCTCCTGTGTATCTCTTAGAAGGACACTTGTCGTTGGAGTTAGGGCCCACCCTGTAACCCAGAATGATTTCATCTTGAGATGCTTAATTATATCTGTAAAGATCCACTTTCCAAATAAGTCATATTCATAGGTTTTAGAGATTAGGATATAGACATACCCTTGGAGGGCCACCATTCGACGCACACTATTTGAAATCGAAATTTGTGTGTGACAAGGGTAAGGAACTATTTTAGTTTTCTATTCCTGAATAACAAATTACCACACAATTTGGTGGCTTAAAACAACCAATATTTATTATCTGATAGTTTCTGTGAATCAGGAAGCCCAGCATGTTAGCTGGGTCCTCTGCTTCAGGGTTTCTTACAGGCTGCAATTGAGGTGTTGTCCAGGGCTGAGGTCTCACGTAAAGGTTCAGATGAGGAAGGAACTGCTTCTAAGCTCACGTGGTTGTGGTAGAATTCAGTTCAAGTGCTGTTGGACTGAGGGCCTCAGTTCCTAGCTGGCTGTTGGCCAGAGGCCACCCTCAATTCCTTATGTGGGCCTCTCCAACACAGCTGTTTGCTTTATCAAAGCAAGATGAGAAGGCTTTAGGGTCTGCTAATAAGATGAAAGTCACTATCTTCTGTAACCTACTCTGGAAGTGACATTCTGTCCCTTTTGCCATTCTGTTGGTTAGAACCAAGTCACTAAACCAAGTCACTAAGCCATCTCACACTTAAGGGAGGGATTACACAAGAATGTAAATTCAGGAAGGATCATGGGAGATTACTTTAGACTCCTACATTTTTACTTTCTAAATGGTGAGCCACCAGTCCAACTACCACCACTTAAATTGACTAATTCATCTATTTCCCATGGAACTGAAATGTCGGCTTTGTCATATATTAAACCCCGTATATACATGATTCTGTTTAGATACTCCTCTATTTCATGTACCTTTTCTGTCGGTTTCCATGGTAATACCATCTTGTTTTAATTGCTGATATCAGTAGTACAAGTTCCATTCTATTAATTCTCACCCCCCTCAAAAAAAAGAATTCTTGGCTATCTGCTTACATTTATGAATTTTAAGATAAACGTTTCTAGTTTCAGAAAATAATTGACATTTCATTGAAATTATTAAATTTATATATTAAGCATAGGAGAAGTAATACCTGTATAGTATTGAATCATTTCATCTATTTGTAGTCTTTCATGATACTCAGGAAAGTTTTACCATTTTCTTCATATAAATCTTAAACATTCCTTGCAAATTTTATTTTTTATGTACATTCTTGTGAAAGGCATCTTTTTTTCTTATTTTCACCTGATTACTGATACTTTGTTTTATAAAATTATTGATTTTCATATTTTATCTGACCATATATTGGCTTTCCCTACTCATTTTAATTTTTCCTACTTACTAATATTTAAGTGTGTTTATGGTATGTAAGTGTTATTTTTAAATTATAAAAATGTATAATTACTATATACTTACACAAAATATAATTCTGGTACTCCTTCCCAAAATTATCCATCAAATCCTTTTCATCTTACTGAATTAGGGAGAACAAAGTTCTCCCCAATTTTATTTTGAATGAGTGTTCTTCATTGTTGGATGAGACTATAAAATAACCTAAGTCTGTCAAAGATCTTTTTCCACAAAAGCACCAGGCCCAGATGGTTTTACACCCTATTTCTAGGATACCATTGTATGATTGCTGATGGTTTCTGATAAATTCTTAGTTCTAGCTTACTAAGTCAAACTAAGTCAGTCAAAATATCAAATAACTGCAAAATCTTTTGAGATATTCATATAGTTTTTTCCCCTTAACCTGAGTTGAGCCATCCTGGAATTTCTGGAATAAGTTACAATTGGGCAGGTAGTATTGTTATGTTAATATACTGTTACATTCAGTTTAATACAAATTTTTTACAACTATGTTCACTTAAATTCATGATTCTTTGTTTTGTTGTAATTTGTTATCAAAATTGTGCTAGATTTGAAATAAATTGGGAGGCTTTCTGGCTTTTTTTGGTGCTTCATAATAGTTTAAATAATACTATTTAATTATCTGTCCCTTAGTTTCTCCATAAAATAACTTACCTCCCTTACCTCACTAGTCATCATATTTTCCTTTATTTTCTTAGTAATAAGTAGCACTTACTACTATTGAAATTACTTTATATGTTTAATTGATAACTTACATTGGTCTCCCTGTTTCATGAAAATCAGGGACCTTATCTGTTGTGTTCATCAGTGTGTCTGCATCTAGAGCAGTATCTGGTACAAAGGCACTCTAAAGATGATGAGAGAGTCTGGGGATATGCTTAGATATTAAGTAATGTTGATCTACTTCAGAATGAATATTGGTATAATAACAATTAAAATTTCCTGGGATTAGCCAGTTTCATTGCTTAATTCATGCTAAACTTTTCTTTTTTGCAGGTGATCAGAGGATTGCTGAAATTTTGGCCAAAAACATGCAGTCAGAAAGAGGTGGGTTTTGTTCAACAAAAATAGTGCATTTTCTTAGAACTCTGAATGTTGGCTATAAACCATGCCTCTGTTGTCCCTGCTGCCGAGCGGGAGATGTTCTATGGGGATTAGAGAGATTTTGGTAGAATGGCTGTCAAGACTTTTGTCCACTGTGTAATCTGTAGATTAACCTTCTCATTTTTTTCTATATTAATATCATATAATTTTCATGTTTCTTAAAAGAAAATTTTTTTAACCTAGGTGATGTTTTTAGGCGAAATTGAAGAAATCTTAGATGTCATTGAACCAACTCAGTTCAAAAAAATTGAAGAGCCCCTTTTTAAGCAGATATCCAAGTGTGTATCCAGTTCTCATTTTCAGGTATGATGTTTTTCAGTGAAGCCATTTTTATTTTATACTATTATTTTTCTTTTCTAGTTTTCATATTTATAAATGTCTTTTTTAGGTTGCAGAAAGGGCATTGTACTTCTGGAATAATGAATATATTCTTAGTTTGATTGAGGAGAATATTGATAAAATTCTGCCAATTATGTTTGGTAGTTTATACAAAATCTCCAAAGAACACTGGAATCCGTAAGTGTCTTTTGTGTTGATTATTTTTTCCTTGTGGGTTTTTTTTTTTTTTAACCTTTTTGTCATTTGATCTCCTAACTCATACATGAAACTTATACAGTAATACCTTGGTTTGCGAGCATAATTCGTTCCAGAAACAAACTACTCGTATTGCAAGACATCGCTCATTTACCACGTTAAAATGTATTAGAAATGTTTGCAAACCAAATTACTCGCAATCTAAGGTTTTACTGTATATACTTGGAACTTATTCCAAGGCTAACATCACAGTTTTATTCTATTCTGCACTTTATAAAGTTATAAATTACAAATCCCTCTCAAGGTAAGACTATCTGGTGTGACATTCCGCACCAGTGTGTGGTCAAACCCTTTGGGGAGACCAACCCAACATTTGTGGAGGACGCACAAATGACTGTGTGAATGCCAAGTTGGGCTGACCTGCTGCCAGTAACAGTCTCACCTTTACAGATAGCACTATGCTAGGGAAAAACTGAAGTGCTTGAGGTTATATCAGTGATATTTAGACTGCATATATTCTAACTTCTGTGTCATACTAACCCTGCTTTCTACTTTTCTTCTTACAAGTTATGGTAGTTGGATCTTTCTCATTTTCTTTTAATGCTTTTGTTACTCGGTGCTTGAGATTCTAGAGCAGATGTGACGATACAATTTTAATGAGTTAAATCTGAGCATAGGAAGGATATGAATTTTGGAATCAGACCAATTCTACCACCACTGGCTGTGTGACCTGGAGCAAATCACTAAACCTCTTGCATTGCAGTTTATCATCTCTAACATGGATTAAGTGAATCAGCCAACATTTAACCCATTTCAGAGATGATAGTGTTACATTTCTTATCTGTTAGTAGCATCAATAACCCAGTACTGGCTTATTTTTGTTTTAGGACCATTATAGCACTGGTCTACAATGTACTGAAAACCCTAATGGAAATGAATGGCAAGCTTTTTGATGACCTTACTAGTTCATATAAAGCTGAAAGACAAAGGTATTTGATATTTTTAATTACAAAGTTATCTAAAATATATAAATTTAGTTGAATGTGATTCAATATAATAAGGCATCTTCTCTAAGTTAAAATGTTTAAGAAGTCAGTTACAATTAACCATTACAGTGTGAAAATCTCTAGTGATTTTACTGTGGATCATAAATCCTTTCTGTTGATCTCATTCTAAGCCTTAGACTTCAGCACTCTGGTAGCATCTGCATTGTAAAATACAATTTATGCTAAAATTTAAATACTATTTTATACAATTTGATTTTTTATGAAAATCATTTTTGTCCACATGGCTTCCACAGCGAGCTTTACTTGCTCACAAATGTTCCTTGCACAAGTTTGTTTTTAAGCTGCACATTTTAACAAGATGGTATTTTTAAAGTCAGCAGTTTTCTTTTGGGAAGAGGGAACTCATAATGATATGCCTATGGCTCAATACTGTTAATATTTTGTTCCTTGCAATATATACTTTAGAGAATAAATGATAGCACACATTAGCAAGAAACTTGGCTTAGTGATTAACTCTATTTTGTAAATAATCTAAAAATCAATTCTCAGGCTGGCCGAGTGGCTCAGTTGGTTAAGAGCTCGCTCAAGAGTGTGAGTTGTGAGCAACAGCAGTTGGAGTCCTGGCCCGAGCTGAGCTCCAACAGATGGCAGGATGGCTCAGCTAAAAAAAAGAAATTTAAAAAAATCTCATTTATTTCAAACGTAAGGTGGGTAGTAAATGCTGTACCTGAGCCCACACGTCATTTAAGGATAACAGCTACCATTTATTTCTAATAAGCATATTACCTAGTCTGTTTGGAAAAGCCTATCTATTTTGACTAAGTTCCTTATGGTTTTCTTGTGGCAAGTAGGGGAAGGAAAATTCTTCAAGGCCATTTGAGTCCACCAATAACTAACTCAATGCATTGTTTCTTTTAAATAGTACCTTTCAGGCAGGAATAGAAATTAGGTATGTAGTTTGAACCCCGGGAACAAATGAAAAGATGATTAGGATTGTATGAAACTTGTATTTGAAAATAAGGCATGCTTTACATGACTAAGAATAATCCATATATCTTACTATCTATATAAATCAGCACCTTTGTCCCCTTAAATCATATGTAACCTTAGAACTTATAAGCCCATGTTTTTGGGTTTTTTTCACATGTTCTTATAGCTCTACAGAATAATTTAGTCTAAGGTATTCAGAAATGTTTTCCTTTAGAATTGAAATTAAGTTGAATAATCTCAAAAAACCCCAAATATTTTATATCTTATTTCAAACTTGAAACTCAAAAGTTTTCATTTGATATGTAAGAGACGAGATAGTGAGGTACAGACTGATTAGTGGCTAGAGATGGGGTACCAAAGTATTTGGATTCCACCCAGAAATGGCTCCAGACTGAACTCATGGCCAGTCCTTCGGGCTATAAAAGAGGGATCATGAGTATTCTAGCGACTATGTTTATGTGAGAAAGTGCATGTAAAAGTACTTTGTACTTGGTCAAGACTTTGGTCAAGATAGAGGAGTAGGGTAACACTGCTCACCACTGACGACCACATCAAAATTACAGAACCATCATCATCAAGAACCTTACCTGAAGACTAGCTAAACACAAGCCCTATAACTAAGGATATAAAGAAGCCACAAGAAGACTGGTAGGGGGAGGGGTGGAGACATGGAACGGGCAGGTCCCAGACCCCACCAGGAAGAGGAGTCCCCATAGCTTCTGGCTGGCTGCTGGAGTCCCAGGCAATCCTCTTGAGGGGCCTGCACATGGACTTGCTCACTCACCAACGCACACACCCTGGGCTCCAGTGTGAAAAGCACCAGGGACACAGGGAGGAACTGAATTGACACGCTGCAGAGCATGGGCTGGAGGGGCAAGGCAGCTCGCTCTGTCTGGGGAGGGAAGCACTGGCAGGTGCCATTAATTGTTCTCATCTGGTTAATTCTAGCCCAAGGGAGTTACCTCCAACAGCTTTTCCACACAAGCTGCCTGCCTTGGATTGTGCTGTGAATTTTCCTAAAAGCTCTCAAAGATACACAAACCCCTAACAAGCAGTGGCTGACCTCAGTGTGCGGTTTCCCTCTTGCTAAGTGATGCCAAGCCTGGCACAATGAACAACCGGTCTTAACTTGCATTGTATCTCCTGTCAAAAGGTCCCGAACCTGGCACTACTGGCATCCAGACTCAATTCACAGCATAGGCTTTTCCAAGTGCCTCCAAGGCCAGCACACAAGCAGTCAACAGCAGATCACTTTGTAGCTCCAAACGGCAGCCAACATTAGCCTACACCAGAGCCCCTCCAAAGAGGCTCCAGAACCAGCACACCTCGTGGCCAGCTTCAGACCACACTAGAGTACCAGCTAACCAGCTCCACAAAAGACATATCCAAAGGGTACACTCGGCTGGCACCAGAGTCCTGCTAACGTAACTCCCATGGGGTCAGCCCCCACACAACAGTTTGTCTGCTGCAGTCATGGCTGGCCAGCCAGCCTGAGGGTTAAAACTCACCTACTGACTTGCCAACAGCAGTCAAGGCTCAACTACAACAGGAGGGCACACACAACCCACACGAGGGGCACCCATCTCAGGTGAGCAGGGAGACTGTGCTCTATGGGACACCTACCATATAAATTCACCCTGCCAAGACATAGCAGATCTACCTCTAACACACAGGAGGCAGTCAAAATGAGGATACAAAGAAACCTGTCCCAAATCAAAGGAGACAAACCATCTACCTGATAACAGAGTTCAAAACACTGGTAGTGGGCCGGCCTAGTGGCTCAAGAGCGCGAGCTCTGAGCAACAGGGTTGCCGGTTCAATTCCCACATGGGCCAGTGAGCTGAGCTGCCAACAGGTGTCAGGATGGCTCAGCTGGTAAGAGCACATGCTCCTAACAACAAGGTTGCCGGTTCTACTCCAGCATGGGATGGTGGGCTATACTCACGCACAACTAAGATTGAACACGGCACCTTGAGCTGAACAGCTACCTGGGTGGCAACTGGACTTGGAGCTGAGCTAGCTGCGCCCTCCACAGATAAGGTTAAAGGACAACAACTTGGCTGTTCCCCTTCCCCAATTCCCCAACAAAAACCTTAAACAAAACAAAAAAACCCCACTGGTAATAAGGATGCTCAGTAAATTTAGGAAAGAATAGATGAATTCAGTGAGCACTTCAACGAGGAAACAAAATGAAGACAACTAAAATCAGTCAGAAATGAAGACTATAACTGAAATAAAGAATACATTAGAGGAAATCAACAGCAGGTTAGATGAAGCAGAGGATCAAATCAGCAATCTGGAAGCAAAGTAGTAGAAAACACCCAATCTGATAAAAAAAGAATTAAAAAAAAAAAGATAGTTGACGGGACCTCTGGGACAACATCAAGCATACCAACACATTACGTTTGCATCATAGGGGCCACCAGGGGGAGAAGAGAGAGAAGAAGGAATTGAAAACCTATGTCAAGAAATAATGATGGGAAACTTCCCTAATCTGGCAGAGGAAATAGACATACAAGTCTAGGAAGTGCAGAGAATCTCAGACAAGACAAACCCAGAGACCAAACCAAGACACATCATAATTAAAATAACAAAGGTCAAAGACAAAGAATCTTTAAAGTAGCAAAAGAAAAGCAGTTACATACAAGGGAGCTTCCCTAAGACTGGCAGATGATTTCTCAACAGAAACTTTGCAGGCCAGAAGGGATTGGCACGAAATATTCAAAGTGATGAAGGAAAGATGTACCACCAAGGTTACTCGACCCAGCAAGGCTATCATTTAGAATCAATGGAAAGATAGTTTCCCAGACAAGAAAAAGCTTAAGAAGTTCATCACTAAACCAGTATTACAGAAAATGTTAAAGGGGCTTAAAAATTAAAAAGCTAAAAAATATGAGTAAGAAAATATAGGAAAGAAAAAATTTTCCCTGAGAAAGGCAAACAGTAAAACCAGTGGATCAACCAAATATAAACTTAGTACAATGGTTAAAAGACAAAAATAAGAAGAGCATATGTAATTACAACAACAAATATACGCACAAAAGAAGTAAAAAGATGATAAAACAAACATGGAGGGGGTGAGTAAAAATTGTAGTGATTTTAGAATATGTTTGAACTTAAGCAACCCTCAACTTAAAATACACTGCTATAAACATAGCTTGGTATATAGGAAACACATGGTAACCACAAACGAAAAATGTACAAGAGATACCTAAAAAATAAAGAGAAAGGAATCCAAACACTATAGAAAGTTATCAACAGCCCAGAAATAAACCCACACTTATATGGCTAGTTAATCTATGACAAAGGAGGTAAGAATTATACAATGGGGGTAGTAAACACAGTCTCTTCTATAAGTGATGTTGGCAAAACTGGACAGATAACGTGCAAAAAAATGAAAACGGACGGACCACTTTCTTACACCATACACAAGAATAAACTCAAAATGGATTAAAGCTTTAAATGTAAGACCCCAAACCATAAAACTCCTAGAAGAAAACATAGGCAGTAAATTCTTTGACACTGCTCTTAGTAGTTATTTTTTGGATATTTATTATCTTCTTGGGCGAGGGAAACAAAAGGAAAAATAAACAAATGGGACTACATCAAACTAAAAAGTTTTTGCACAGCAAAGGAAACCACCACCAAATCGAAAAGACAGCCTACTGAATGGGATAAGGTATTTACCAATGAAACATCTAATAAGGGGTTAATTTTCAAAATACATAAGGAACTCATACAACTTCTTTAATTGGATTAAAGAAATGGCAGAGGACCTGAATAGACATTTCTCCAAAGAGGACATACAGAGCCAAGACATGAAAAGATACCCAACGTCACTAATCATAAGGGAAATGCAAATTAAAATCACAATGAGATATCACCTCACACCTGTCAGAATGGCTATCATCAAGAAATCAGCGAACAAGTGTTGGCGAGTATGTGGAGAAAAGGGAACCCTTGTTCACTTTTTTTGGATTGTAAATTGGTACAGCCACTATGGAAAACAGTATGGAGGTTCCCCCAAAAATGAAAAATAGAACTACCTTATGACCCAGCTATTCCACTTCTGGGTAATTATCTGAAGAAATCCCAAACACTAATTCAAAAAGATATATGCACCCCTGTGTTCATTGCAGCATTATTTACGATAGGCAAGATACGGAAGCAACCTAAGTGTCCATCAAAACATGACTGGATAAAGATGTGGTGGTACACACATACAATGGAATGTTACTCAGCCATAGAAAAGAATGAAATCTTACCTTTTGCGACAACATGGATGGACCTAGTGGGTATTATGGTAAATGAAATAAGTCAGAAAAAGACAAACACCATATGATTTCTCTTAAATGTGGAATCTACAATACAAACAAAACAGAAACCAACTGATGATTGATTGCCAGGTGGGAGAGGGGTTGGGGTAGGGGGGTAAAAAAAAAAGGTGAAGGGATTAAGAAATACAAATTGCCAGTTATAAAAACAGTCACAGGGATGTAAAGAACAGCATAGGGAATATAGTGAATAATACTGTAGTAACCATGTATGGCGCCAGGTGGGTAGTACACTTACCGGGGTGATCACTTTGTAAGTTATATAAATGTGCAATCACGATGTTGTATACCTGAAACTAATATATTGTAGGTCAATGGTAATTGAAAAACATTTTTTAAGTATTTTAAAATAAAAATACTCTGTAAACCATGAAGTGCCAAGGATCTAGTGGTCACGGTGGTAGTGATACTATGGAGAGGAGGGAAAGCAAGTAGCCACTTCTGGTTGGTCCAAGAGAGGCACTGAGGTGGTGATTAGACGTAGGAGAGGGTGACAGGGAGTCGTGTGAGGTGCTCCGGATAATTGGCCTCAGACACTTTGGTAGAGAGACTGAAATGAAATGTGGGTGAACAGTGTGTTCTTTAGGCTCTGAAAAGTTTCTGATAAGAAAAATTTTGGTTTATCTACAGAGAGAAAAAGAAGGAATTGGAACGTGAAGAATTATGGAAAAAATTAGAGGAGCTAAAGCTAAAGAAAGCTCTAGAAAAGCAGAACAGTGCTTACAACATGCATAGTATTCTCAGCAATACAAGTGACGAATAAAGAAAAGCCTGCCACCTCTGTTGGAGAGGCAGTTTTGTACACTTTTTTGAAATATGTAAAAATTGTGAAACAAACCTCATCAGTATAATATAATTAAAAGGCCAATTTTTTTCTGGCAACTATAAATGAAAAAATATATGGACTAAACATAGCCCTGTGCTATATTGTGGCCACAGTATATTGTAACCTTTGTCTAATCATTGATTTATTGTGTCACTTCTGAAGTTTCACAGAAATGAATGAATTTTATCATCTATAATATGAGTGATATAATTATGGGAGTGGTAAGAATTATGACTTGAATTCTTTTTTTGATTGTGTTGCACATAGATATAGTAGTCTGCTCTGTATATTTTTCCCTTTTATAATGTGCTTTTCACATTGCTGCAGACCTTAGTTACATCCTAGGAAAAAGAGTATTTCCTGAAATAAAACTAAGGTATAATCCTTCCCTTCCCGATGGAGGGAATGCCCTGCCCTAAGCCTTCCTTCATTAGAGGTATTACTACTCTGGAATTTGAGCAAAAACTTAAATCTCCAGGCTTTTTAAAGCACAAAATAGAAATAAAAGCTGGGAAAGTAAACCAAATTGTCCAGATTGTTCCTCCTGACTGTCCCCCTTCCCCTGCAAGTCCGCAGCGTGGAGGCAGCCCGGCGACCACTCAGCCCGCCTCAGCCATTCCTCCGCCTCCTCCTCCCTCCAGGACCTTCGACCCTGGGAGACCCTGGGAGCGCTGTGGGGACCCAGAGCGCTCACCGTCACTGCCTGGCTTTATTTGAAGGAAATGCAGTAGGCTTCCTCTGTAGAGCTCTGAGAACGTTGACTATAGAGAAGTCTTGTATGTTGTTACTTGGTCAAGTATTTCTCACATCTTTTGTTATCAGAGTACCATTCCAATCTCTTACCTTGCAGTTGTGTGGAGAACTGTTTTATAATAAAAGATCTTCACTGGGGGATGGAGCAGCATTTAATAAAGTCTATGTTTGTATTTTGCCTTATGTCATTTCTGCTTTTTTCAGTTCTAAGTTTAGGCACCCAGAGTAAGTTGCCCCCCTTTATACACATACATATATACATACATATACAGAAAACTTTAAGGCAAGTTGAAGGATATATTTTAACTAAAAAAAATTGAGTTTTACAGAATATTTGCATAAAGTTCTAGGATATCCTACACGTTCAGAGGATAGGTTTAACTTATTTTAAATGTTAGTTTGAATTAAGAGACTCAGGAGGATAAATCTCAAAAATCTACAATAAATAATAGCACAGTGTTTTTGGGGGGAGGGGCGGGGTACAGAGATTGTGGCAGTCAGACATTATAGTTTTCAACTACTAATTTCTGAGTCTGCCCTTTCACACCCACGAAAACCTCTAGCACGGGTTCTGCACACATCCTGGGTCACTGTGAAAGCAGCACCTTGTTTGCTGCGGCCCCAGAACCTTCTTCTCAGCACACGGCTCATATTTTAGTGTTCTCAAGTAGCCCCTGACCAGAGCCATCAGATCAAGCTGTTCCTGACAGACCCTCCATGCCAAGCCAAGGCCAGTGGGCACTGCTGACGGCTGGGGGCAGCCCGGGAGGAGGGCAGGCAGCCCCCGCTGTCCAGAAAGGGAACGTTAGGGCTGAAAGTCGGTTTTGTGGACGTTAGGCATGTATGTCTCTTACATATATGAAGAGCGGCCAGAGTGCATTTTGGCAGGCTGCAGCTAGTAGCTGTTAAGATTTTTTTTCTCTGATGAGCTAAAAATGCTCACTTCCTAAGTACTTATTGTAAAGCTCATTTAGGCGGTCTCTCAACGTCCCACAATACAGAAAATGCAGTTTTAGGATATTCATTGGAGCACATTGGTTAGATATTTAAGATTTAAAGTGGTGTGTCATCTTTAGAGATAGAAAACACGCTGTTTTCAGCACTGTTACGGTAAGCTTTTATGCCTGGCTTTGCGTGTGCCTCACGGCAAGACTGGACTGAGATGAGACCTAGGCTAAAGTTTCAATTTGCTGCTCCTATGGCTTAGAAAAATAACCATGAATATTCCTTTACACAAGTTTCCTTGCTGCTAAGTTAGGAGATTAAAAAATGCCCACTCATATATTTGAGTTTTTCTCTGAATTACCTAAAGGCAAGTTACAAAATTCAGGAAATGCTACCCAGTCCTCTTTGGATGCAAAGGGCATATAAATAATTTTTGCATCTAAATAATTTAAAACCCGGGAAACAATTTCTTAACCTTAAATCAGCCTAGGGCTACCATGTAAAATATACCCAGGTGGTATCCATCTGTCAGAGGCAAGGCTGAAAGATGGGTGGTTTGTAGACTTAACACAGCTTATTCACAGGGCTTGATCCATCACTCCTCCTGACCATCCGCCATTAACGGCCACACCCACCCTGCCCTTCCCTGGACGTAGTAGGACGTACCTCTGGGGTCCAAATCCATCCTTCTCGAAGTCCAGGCTCATGCTGCCTTTTATCTGGAGATCACAGAACAAAAGCGTACCTGTGCCTACCGATTTAGCAGACATTCATACTGGCACACTGAGTCCTTTGTATTAACCTAACTTTATTTACCTGTTAATGAAATCATCGAAATACACTGAGTAGGCACCTATTATGTACATACGTACTAGTGCTTCTGCGTGTTAATCACTAAACTCTCATACCTGCATCAACAGACTAACCAGACAGGTAGGGGGCTAGTCAGTCCACAGGAAATCTAATTACTCATTTCTAGTAGCTTAAAGTCTCATTTAACACTGAACAAATGAGAGAGCTTGTCAGGCTGGACAACGTAAACGGTAGGTAATGCCAGAAACAAGGGTTTTTGCCTTTCTTTGTGTACAAGCAGTTTTCAAAGCTGCCTGTGAAGAGTCACCCTCTTCCATCCACTTTAAAAAACCTCGGGAAAAAAACCTCAGGTAAACAGCAGGGCCTAAATTATCCTGTTACAGTTTGACTACACATCAAATAAAAAAAAAAAAAGGCAGCTTCTACAAACCTTCAGAAAACCAGATATATATCTAATTCCGTCTTCCACAAACCCTATGCATATGTCATGTTCAAACAATGTTCAATAATTTAAGTACTTAAATTAACTTTCAGGTTATCCGTTGATCTGTTGCATTAGGCTGTTCCTCCCAGCGGGGCCCGTTTCTTCGGGGGAGCAGAGTACTGGTAGCTCGGTGTATCAAAGTGGAAGTGATCAGAGCTTCCATTAACACGGGCAGTTCTACGAACAACACAAGGCGACTTCAGCTTATGTGGTTCGTTGCCTGACCTCTTTTTCTAAGGTATCGCTTCCTAATTTTGATCATCCATTTCACACTCAGTTTGGCAAACTCTGCTGCTTTAAATAATGCCAAGAAGGCCCCACAGAGAAGAGCGATTGTGTTCCAGGGATTGGCTGTGATTATCTGCAAAACAGAAACAAACACACGCTTTATTGGTTTGCTTCAGTTTTGATTCTTAGGTCCTACTGGTGTCACTGGGGCGACAAGAAAAACGCCGGCATTCTAATATTGTCCTAACTCTATATAGTTCATTCATACTTTAATGTTCATAGTTCAGTCTGAGGAGATAGCTACTAAGCCTTCCCCACAATAAAGTGATTCTGAAAGAAAAAAATTGTTTTTCAAAAAAGCTGTGAACAAATATGATATTCAGTACTGAACTTGATAAACTTTTGGCCTGGTCCATAAGTGATCTTGCTTAGAGACCAATTTCCCTCAAACTCGACCCAATCCAGAAAGGCAGTTCCTTGTTGTCTTCCCATGTCACAGTGATTCAGACCCCTCCTCCCACCCAGTCCAGTGGCTGTCCCTCCACACCCACTCGGCCTCCTGCCTCCAGCTGTGCCCTGACTCCCTGCCTGTGATGCTGTCCTGCCTCTAGTTACTTATCCTTCAGGGCTCCTCAGAGCTTTCTCTGTCCACTAAGCAAAACCCTTGCAACTTTAGCAGAGGCATCTATCCAACCGTCTCCTTGGCAGTTATTTACTGTCTGGAATTAGTCACTTTACAGCCAGCCTCACTAAATGTTAAACCCGTCAAGGCCAATGTCGTACCTCGGACTTCTTAAGTTCCCCCAAACACTGTTAAGTCCCAGTTTTGCAGGGTGACCTTAGACAACCTGAACCTTGGGGTTCACCTCTGCAAAATGCTTCAATCACCTCCACTGTTTAGGACTGTCATGACGCTGGGGACAACGCGAGGTAGGCCTTGAGCACTGGCCCATCATGGCTTCCCCTTACCGAGTAGGTTACGAATGTTTGATCATGTATTTTATGTGTAGAGCTGAAGGCGTTCATCCTCCCCAGTCCTGACTCAGTCAGCACCTCGTGCCTCTGTGCTCGGCCTTGCCAACCCACGACTAAATGGTGGAGGGTGTTAACGAAGCACATCCACGTCACAAAGACCCTCCCAGCTATGAAATGTCGCCCCCCAAGTCAGGACGTTCTGTGATAACCTAATCGGTGTTAGACTTGGGACTGGCCGTGGTGGGCAGTGTCTCAGGAATGCTCCCTGAGCAAAGCTGTCTCACAATTCCTCCCCTTCAAAACTGCGAGTCTGAGAACCTGGCATTAATTGATACTGTTAATTTTTTACGTGCACTGTTCTGCGCTGACTTACCACAGTAGTAAGTTTTTATCCTACAGAGAACCATTAAAAAAGAACGGCTTCCAATAGCAGTGACCTAGTTATTAGCTTAATGCTTTCTACTCAGTTCATTCAAGCAATATTATGAATAATCAGCTCGGTACTAAGTACACGCGAGACACCAAATAAATGATGGGGAACAAAAGACACAGTCCCCACCTTCACAGGACCCCAGTCTAGTGACGAAGACAAGATCAATTAAACACAAGTGATACAGGAAATGAATGCATAAATACAAGTGACAAACTGATTTGTGCTCAGCCTGCAATGATGAGCCCAAATAAATGCCACGGCTGGGAGTTTGCTCTCTCATGTTAATTAATACTCACATCTTGGACTTTCTGGATGAAAGGATCTTTCCATTCAAAGACCACAAAAAACAACTGAGCCCTTTTTTCGGTTGCCGGCCTCTGGTCAATGTAGTTAACCACACTTGTCTAGGAACAGAGGAGAGAAAGCAGTGTCAGCTGGCAGGGCCCTGGGGAAGGAGAGTGGAGCTGGGGAATCTTAGACCTTGGTTCTCCTCAGCCTCTTGGAGAGGGAGAAAACAAACCCTCTTATACGACACCCTGAAACCGGTGCCAGAGCCCAGGCCTCCCCTTGCTTTCATAGTTCCCTGGGGAAACCAGTAGATCTGGGATGTACATAGGTGCTTTGGATTGTCACCAAGTAAACCATATTCAAAGTACTGTGTAAGTCTTAAAATTAAAAGCCATAAAAAACCCAAATTTCAAAATACTTGATCTTAAGAGCTGAGTATGTCAACCTTCTAGATTGTATATCTACAGGGACCAAGTGCAGCCTCAGGTCCCCCAGCTGAGCAGTCCCTGTAAACAGGTAGAAGGCGTGCCTGGGAAGGTCTGTGACCAATTATTAAAGGGACTGCAGGGTGTCACAGAGAGCAGACGGGTTCCGGAGGCAGAAACGTGCGCCTAGCCTGGAGTGTTGGGTCCATCATGTGAACTGAGCCTCTACTTTGCCACCCATAAAATGGGGACAAAATGCCTACCCCTCACTGAGGCGTGGCGAGGATCACATGAAGCAATACATATGAAAGTACCTTAAAGTATCTTAAACTTTAAAACACAATATAAAAACATTTAAAATATTGTTCAAGAGTTCGTGTCCCCTGCCAAGTCTTGCAACAATAAAAAGCACATAAAACATTCTAAAATGTATAGGTTCGCTGGGGTTTTGGCCCCTGTGGCTTCAGGTCACAGGGCCACCAGAAGAGCCAGAGTGGCCTGGGGTTGCACTTGCTCAGATGCTGTGGGACCAGGCAAGGAAGGGCTTAAGGTTCTTGGAAAAAAGTGTGAAAGAAAAACTCAGGAGATGACAGTTATCTTACAAACTAGGAATATTTTAAGGACCTATTGTTGGGGGGGAGGGGCTGTCACCTCCTAAGGCAGGAAAAAAGCCTGTCCCCTTGAAGAAAAATGGCTCTACATCCTTCCTAAAGCCATCCTGTGGAGTCCTGCCCAAACAGATCACCTCCAAGGAGTGGAGGGTGGAGCACAGACACGCTGGCTCTGGGTGTGGATTTGGGTAGGAGGCAGGGTCACTGCCGCAGTGGAAGCCCCAAAGGCAGGGGTGTGGCCTCGCTTTTGGTGGTGCCTGACAAATGGCCCTGTTGAGGTGACCAACTGTCCCATTCCCCCATCCCCACTGCCACACCGGGCCTCTCCTGGCTCCTGGCCACTGGGCTGAAAGCTTGTGCATCCCACTTCCCATTAGTAAAACATTCTGAGCACACACTCAACATTTATAACTTTAGCAGTAATGTAACATTACTACCACTGTTCCAATGTTACATGCATTATAAAACACTCAAAAATAGAAAAAGGATGAGATTTTTAAATACAAAAAGAAAGCTAGTATTGTACTTCTGTGTCCCAATGGATCACGCCCACGACACTTCAGAGGCCCCTCTGTCTAGTCTCTCTTCCCCGCAAATAATCCATCTTCCATGCGGCCTCCAGCCTCTCAGCTGGGGCGGGCGCAAGGCTGAGGACACGGGCTCCGGCGGAACAGCTGGGCAAGCACCCATGCCACACAGCGCAGGGGTCCCTGCCCCACCATGTGCTCCGCGCGGACAGGCCCTTAACGGGAGGGCCTGGCGCGGACACTGCCCACAGAACAGTGAACGCCTGGCAGGGGCCGTTGGCATCCTGGCGAAGGTCTAACCACCCTTCAGACTCAAAGGCCACCCCAGACTCAAAGGCAGATGTCACCAGTGGTGCCGGGCAGACCCCGCAGCACCTACCTCCTGCCGGAACTCCACTGCTTCCCGCCCGTCTTCCTCCTTGGTCTCCACCAGGGACATCTTGACCCAGGTGCGGAAGCCCCCGGAAAATTTCCAGCTGGAATAGGCGCTCTCACAGGCCTGCATGAAGCCCACCCTGTCTGGGCTGGGAGGACAGAGAGGAAAGGTCCAAGTTCATCAGGCCTGACAGCAGGATTCCAACGGGGCCAGACTCAAGCTCCCGCCCCTACTTCCGCCAGCTTCCAGGGGGCTGCCCACCCCCTGCCTCCTCTCCAAGCTCTGCCTCTCGGTTTCCAAATGGAGGGGACGTGGCCACCACCTCAAGGCAGCAGCCTGATCCCTGAGGCCCCAGTGGGAGGATGCGGCCTCCCTGCACCCCGTCATTCCCCACACCCGTGCCTGGCAGTGGGCACAGGTCTGCAGACGTGCCCCCAGCGCCACGCTCCCAGCTCCTCAGGAACTCGGCTTCAGCTGCTCTGAGGAGCCCTGAGAGCCTCCCTGCCACCACCCCAGGCCCCCGCCTAGGGATGTGCAAGGCTGGAACAAATAAAGAGTGTACACGCCCGCCGGGAACTCGGAGAGGCCACCTGTGCAGGAACTCCTGGAAAGAAGAGAACAGGAGGTAATCGATGGCGCTGAAGTCCTCGCTGCTCTCGTTCAGGCGGAACTGCAGGAAGACCAGCTCCCGCTTCTTCACTTCCCGGGGCCCCCGCACGATCAGGGCGGATTTCTGCAGAGACAGAAAGGCCACCTCTCAGCCGGGGGTGCGCCGTGTGGGCGCTCCTGACCCTCGAGCACACACACACTTCGGAGGCGGCCTGGAGGCGCCGACTGGAGAGCCCGTGGCTCCTCCTCACCCACGGGGCCCAGGTGCCCACGGGCCACACCCTCCTGCTCAGGGTGGACCGGAGCTGGTACAACTTGTCCCCTGTCCCCTCTTCTCATTGGCTGGCTGCACTACGGAAGCTCTTTATTGAGAAAGGATATTAACTTCTGTTATATGTACAAATATTTTCTTAGTTGGTTACTTTCCCGTTAACTTTCTAATATTATTTGTTTTATGAAGTTCTAAATTTGGTGTAGTGAAATCTCTACATCTTTTTTATGGCTTCTGGGTTTTGCCTGCTAGGGAAAACCAACATTATATCTGTATTCTCCTACATTTCTATTTTATAGCAGCTTTTTCTAACCTTTTTTACAGTTGGCACTGTTTGTATATGGTATGCAACAGGGATCTAACGGCCACTCCCCACACTATGGAGATGCAAGTTTGAGCACTGTGGGTTTATCCCATTCTGACATTGATGGGGCAGAATCCCTCCAGGTCACTCCTTCCATCCCCAAACCTTGGGGGGGGGGTGTATTTTTACACATCTAAAATGTACTTTAAAACTAGCTTAAGTTTCATGAAAAAGTCAACTGGGACTTTGATGATACTGGACTGACAGGTTAATTTGGGAAAAATATCTTTACATCATCAACTTTTATAAATGCTCTACAGGACTTGAAGAGTGAGCACTGTCAGGCACTAAGGGTGACACACATACTCTAAATTTACTGTGCTATTCAGTTGTTACCCTCACTACTTTTTATCTGATCTGAGTTTCTGAGAGGTGTCAGTCACACCCTACGGTGATGGTTATTTTTTATTTCTAACAGGTTTTGCCTAAAATACACAACTGGCACACTGTTTTGCACGTAAAGGTTTATGACTGTTGTATCTTAGTGGAGAGTAGCAGAGCTGAACCTCTTATCCATATTAAACATCCCTCTTTTAACCCTTTGCACTTGAAATTCCTTTTTGACTGAGGTGTTAATATTCCACTCCACTTCTGGTTATTGCTGCATTTTCCCAAGAGACCTCTGTCCGGCTGTTTCTTCTCAACCTTTCTGTGCCTGGTAAGTGGGGGCAGAGAATGCTAACGGTCTCCAGTTTCCTTTACCCACTTCCTCCTGCACAACGAGAACGGCTTCCCCAGTCCCAGGTTTCAGCAGAATACAGTGGCCCTGCTGTACCCTCAGTTCTGGCCTCAGACGTGACCTTGTGATGAAGTTCCTGGAATGTGCCATGACTCACGCAACTCGGCGCAAGGCCATGCAGGGGACTGCTCGCCCTCCACTTCTCACCTCCCGGGGGTTCACGTACACATGTGCTGGTGAGCCAGTGCTGACCACGAGGACCAAGACACCGCCCAGGGGACAGCAGAGTGACGGACAGAAGCCATCGCTGACCACGCTACGAGGCAGCACTGCCCACGGTGTGGCACCGCCTGCACGCCCAGACCGTCCCCAGAGAAACGGGCAGACTTCTCTCGTCTCAGCCACTGTACTTGTTTGGCCGCTCGCTGACCATTACATAGTGGTTTCCTGGACCTGAAGTGCCATGGTAACCACCACCAAAAAATGAGCCATCGGCTTAACACACGGACACTGGAAATACGGCAGGCAGTGAGGAAACAAACTCAGGTCCTGCAGCCTATAAAGGCGGTGGCCCTAATTGGGCCAGAGCAAAGCATTTGGTGAACATTAACTAGATTAAATGGAGGGAAGGAGGGAGGGAATAAATGAGAATCTGAAGACTGACACAGTAGGACCAGATGAGACCCTTGGCTGGGTCACTTTCACATGGACTCGACAGGACGCAAAACAGCCAGAAGCCTACACACTTTTGAAGACATTTCACTGCAAACGAGGAGGTGGGGCAGGAGAAGGAAGACAAACCAACTGCCAAGTCCAAGCCTGTCCAGCCCAAAGCCACGCCCCCACCTCTGCAGCTGCAAGTGGGCGCCCAAAACTCTGTGACCCGGGGCAGGCATGTTTCTAATGTCCATTCCAGATATGGCCACAGACGGCCAAGGCAGACCCTCCCCGTGGACAAGGCCAGGGGCCAGCGAGGACACGCGCGTCTCTAGCTCCCTCCCAGCTGCGGCAGGACATCTCAGGCAGGGCCTCACCCCCGCCTCGAGCAGCGCTGTGCTTCTTACGCTTCTCCCCAAGGGAGTCCTCCGCTTCTCAGTCCTCCTCAGCCCTCCACCACAGCCAGAGGCTGCTTTGGGGTGGCGGACCTGCTCCACAGCGAGCGGGGAACCTCTCTCTCAGCTAAGAGCCACATCCAGAATTGGAGAAGACTAACCGTCACCCAGAGCTGGAGGCACGACCCTCATTCAACTTAGTTTCATGGAAACAGCTCCTCTTTTGTGCCCTGATTCCACGGGTCTTTCTAATATTTAGTTAAATTATATAGCTAAAATAACAAGTCCAGCTGGCACACACGGGTGTGGGGATACACAAGGACTCCTAGTAAGCGCACCCCCCCACTGGGGAGCCGAGGGGCCCTGCACCAGCTGTGCCACGGAAGCACGCATGGGCGTCCAGCTGGCACGTGGTACACGGGGAACAGAAAACTGGGAACCAGGTGGGCAGCGTTTCTACTGTACATCTAGCTCTTCACTAAAATTCTTAAAAATCATTTTCCTTTTCATTTAAATTAGCTTCCGTTTCCCTATTCTGGAGTCTAATCTGTTTGTGTCTCTAGGTCCTTTTTTTTAAGTTGTTGGTTTCATGTAAATGTCTAGTGACCCTTAACTCTCCAGTCTTATTTCCAGATGAAGGGTTAGGTTGACCAGGATGGGTCTGGGGTGTGGGTTTCTTCCTGAGTGGTTCTCTAACTGGGACCCGTAAGGCCTCTGTGGCAGTGGGCAAGGAACGCTAGTGGCCACCCACTCCGCATATTTCTATCCGGGGAAGAGATTCCTTCCGGTAGTTCCCCCCTCTTCCACTGTGGGACTCCAGTCTCAAGTGCTACTCCCTTTCTCTGCTGCCCAGTGCCCAAGCAGGGACCCTCCCCTTAGCTTGTCAGAGAACGGCCATGGGACCTTCTACCCAGGAGCAAACACCGACCCCAGCAGCTCTGCCTGCTCTCGGACAAAGGGCGCGGAGGCCAAGCCAACAGGCGTCTCCTAATTATTATCCTGGCGACTGCCCTATGGCCAGCCATGCTCTTTGAACACGCTGACCTGGAGCTGGGGGTCGGAAAGAAAGCTTTCCCTTCTGCACAACAGTCCTCGCCTGCATCTGGTTTAAGGTATGGGTTTTCTTTCTCTCATTTGTTTGCTCCATCAATCTGACCCAATTTGCAATTTATGTTTCACACCAGTTCCTTGAACTTTCTGCTCAACCGATGATAGCCTTTCTTGGTTTGCAGGTCTACTGCTATTTAGTTTTATTCTGTATTTCTGCAGGAGTGGGAATCATTTCAGCAGGATTTTAGGAGGAAGCGTAGAATATTTACAAGTCCATCCTAAGGCCCACTCCTAGCTCCCTAGCATCCCAAAGAGCGAGTCCCACTCCGTACCCAACAGGGTGCTTCTCTCATCTGGCCATTACTTCTGTCCTCGGCGTCACCTCCCGCGGCTCTTCTGGGGGCATCAGACCCTCCAGAAACACCCAACTACTGTAACTGCCCAGAGGCACGACAGGCTGTTTCCTCCATTTAAGGCTGGGTGCAGACTTCTGCTGCCTAGAAAGCCTTGCCTTCCTCTCTCTGACCTGGGAAACTTGGTTCAGCCCTGTTTAATCCTTTCTGAAACAAGGATATGGGATGCAAAAGGGAAGCAGCAAAAACTACAGAATCCCTTCCTGCCTTCCAGCCTGTGCAGGCGCTGCGCCTCCGGCCGCCCGCTCCCCTGCTGAGCTGGGTGGCTGCGTGAGACAGCAGGCCAGGGCCATGGTCCCGGCTTCCAGACCAGTGCGCCTTCTGCACGCTGACATATTTATTTCAAAATGTGGATTCTCAGGACCTGTCCCCCGGAATGACTCGGTTGGCCCCATATGGAACCTGGGAAAATCTGCATTATCAAAAGGCAGCCAGGCAGTTCCTTTGAGCCACCAGGTATGGGACCCCCTTCACCACATCACACGGCCCCACCCTGCAGCCCCTCCTCCTTCCATCAAGGACAGGACCTCATCGCGCTGCAGGGCATCCCTGAGGGTCGCTCTCAGGGGGCTGACGGCCTCACTGCCCTCCGAGTGCAGGCAAGCCAGCCACGGCCACGACTCCCCTTAGGACAGCCTCGTGTTTGCTGGGGCCGCCGGCCCGCACCAAGGGTGTGGGAGAGGCCACCCAGCAGGAACAGACAGGCTCCGGGTGCAGGGCTGGCAGAGCACGCTGCCCAGACCCAGAGGCGAGTTACCAGGGTCTGATTGGAAAAAGGGTCCGTGTAGTTGATCCTCTGGGTGGTGCAGTTCATGTCTCCGGGCTGGCCAGGGCTCCTCAGCGGGGGGATGACTTCGTAATGATGCTTACAGCTGAGCAGCTGGGCCTGACCGGGGTACAGAGCGATACCTGGGGGCACATATGGGAAAGTGAATGTCAGAAGTCACTGTTCCTGACCACAACCCTAAAATCGTGTCACATATTTTTCACACCGATGACAACCTAAGTGGCACTCCCTGGGTGGCTGCAGAAGAGGAAGAAAAGGGCTACAGAGGGTGGGGGGCCATACCCTTGCCCTCAGAAAGCCCTCCTCCAATGGGGACCAGGGCCTCCTCAGCAATCCCCTCCCCGGCCTGCATCAGAGCCTGTGTGCACACTCTGGGGGCCTCCATGACAGAGCCAACCCCCCGGCCTGGCACCCACCTGCAGATTCCCTGGGAGGCCCCGGCTGTGGGGTTCCCCAGATCTCATTTCATCCCTCATTTCCTAGAGCTCCAACTATGCACGTCACCTCCCTCACCCCGGCCAAGGCTCCTCTTTCATGGCTCTGCCGATGGTCGCTGTTCCAGAAACACTGAGAGCAGCACGGGACCCAGGCAGAGCTCGGACACCAAGAAACCAGAAACAGTAAAACCCAGAGATAGAGACCAAGGCAGACACACACAAAAGAGGGACAAACACAAGGCAGGCAAAGACAGGCCAAGGAGCCGTGACTAGGACACTTGTCAAGAAGCCCCAGGCAGAGGGGACTTGAGACTGGCTCTGCCCCGTGAGCAGGCCATCAGTGGGACACGCAGGCGCATCCTGCTGGCAGAGCCTGAGCCCACTGAGCGCACGCCTCCCCATCTGTGCCCACAAGCCTGGAGCCCAGTGACAGACACTCCCACACCGGCCCTGGAGCAGAGCTGACTCCCCACTGGGACAGGAGAAGGATGGACGGTGTGGCCTGGGAGCCCCCTCTCCAGGCAGGGCCCCTCCCACTTCTCCTCACTGGCCTCTGCTCCAGCCAGGCTAGGCTCAGCCTCCCCAGAGAAACCCTGAGCCGCCCAATACTCACCTTTGCTCCCGCTGATCCTCCTCCCAGGAAAACTCTCTTCCCATCTGTCAAAGCCCAGCCGAAGCCTCCCTCTGTGCAAAACGCTCCCTGCCCACCCCACTGCTGCAGTGACCACTCCAGGCTCTGTCTGCCTCTGTCCTCGTCACAGGACACACTCTACTGGGTGCCCACGGCAGCTCTCTGGTGGGCACTCCACACCCACTCCTCCCCCCTGCTCACGGCGCCCGGCATGGGGCTGGGAGGGCAGGGGCGGCTCAGGCAGTATTTGCAGTGATGCCCGGACCTCGGCCCTGATGCCCATCTGGACAGGCTCTACCTGGGGCATCGTAGCGATCCACTTGCTTGTAAGACACCGACATGACGGGGTGCTTGAGTTTCTCCCGAAAGTCCATGATGGTCTGGTAGACCAGGAAGACAGCGACGGCCATGAGCAGCAGGTAGATGAAAATAAGCAGGACTGAGAAGACGTTCTTCAGGCAGGCCTTGCTGAAGAGGATGCTACTGGAGGCAGACTCGCTGTCTAGGGCTGAAGGACAACACCACAGGTGACCCAGAGCGCAGGGGCAGGTGCAGCCGTGGGAGGTCAGCAACCTCCAGGCCCCTTACCTGCTTTACCAGGGAGGCAAGGTCGCCCACATCCAACCTCCCCACCTCAGCCCCCAAACACAAATCGTAACACACAGCACCTGTCAACCTTCACTACGCACCAGGAAGGGGACCCTGAGCTGAAGGAGACTCGGTCCTTGTTTTTATGGCGTCTCCTCTCTAGAGGGACAGTTACAGTCGAACAAGGAGCTGGGCCCAACTTGGCCTTACCCCTCACCACCCTCCTCCCCATGCCCCAGCTCCACTGCGCTCGCGACTGTCTGGTCCTGCCCTCCACCTGGCAGCCCCTCCCATTCGCCATTCCCTATGCCTGGTCTGAACTCTTTTCTTCCACAGCTGGCTCCTAACTCAGCCTTCAGGTTTCAGTATAGAAAGGCATTCCCTCAAGGAAGCCTTCCCTGACCCCAAACTTTACTTGGCACCCCTTCCTCGGTGCTCCCAGGGCACCTATCTGTCCCCTAGCATCACTCTGCAAAGTCACTGTCTACGTGTCTTTTGATCCCCCAAAGCTATGAGCTCCGTGAGGGTGGAGACAATGGCTATTCTTGTCCACACTGAACCCCCAGCCCTTCGTGCTGTGCCTGGAATAGAGCAGGAATTCTGCGCTTGTATGGTGAATGACTAAAATAACTGATTAAATGTGTCCTGATGCCATCAACTACAACATGGCTCTGCCTCTCCTGCCTGCTCTGAAACCATCCCAAGCCCCGATTACTCTTTTATGAACTGAATTGTCCCCACTCCCCAAAATGCACGTGTTGAAGCCCTAACCCCCCATGTGACTGTATTTGGAGACAAGTGTTTAAGGATGTAATTAAAGTTAAATGAGGTCATATAGGTGACACCCTAATCCAATAGCACTAGAGTCTTATAAGAAGAGGAAGAGACACCAGGAATGCATGCACACAGAGAAAAGGCCACGTGAGGATACATGGAGAAGGTGGCCGTCTGCAAGGCAAGGAGAGGAGTCTCAGGAGAAAACAAACTTGCCAATGCCTTGACCTTGGACTTCCAGACTCCAGAACTGAGAGAAAATATCTATAGTTTAAGTCACCCAGCCTGCGGTACTTGGTTACGGCAGCCCGAGCTGACTGAGACTGACCACTGTGCTCCTTGAGCCATCTCTACTGGGCTGAAGCTGGCTCTCCGTTTCCTCCACAGAAGCTGAGCACAAGGCTGAGATGAGGGGGAGTTTGAAGGGAAGTCAAAATGATAGGTGCCTGGCTTCTGGCTTCCAGGGGTGAAGGAGTAGCTTGGTGACATCACCCTTCTACAGATAACAATGATAAAATTTGGACAAAATATTTAAATATTATTTGAAGATACTAGAGAATGGTTAAAAGCAAGCAGAAATTGAAAGACCATCTACTCTTCAAAGAAAACAACTGTGTCTAGTGAGACTCGTAAATTTGTAGTTTTCTGCCCAAAGACATTCACCAATTTTGATAAGGGATCATTTAGGGTAACAGTGGGCAGAGTTCAGAGCTGGCAGAGCAGTCAGAAAGTTAGGGGGAAATCCTGAAAGGGAAGGAGACAAAGGGGGATGAACCCCCAAATCTGAAAATATGCTCCAATTCTTGGCTGGAGATCCCAGGAGGACCAGCAAAAAAGTGGCAGCTGGAAACAAAGAACTGGGTGGAGAGTTCAGCTGCTGCTATGCAGGAGACATGAGAGTTTGGAATTTGAATCTTGCCACATTAATTATCTGCTAAGACAAAAATTCTTCTTCAGAGGATCATAACAGAATCCAGAACCTCTACAGTATTTAATTTACAATGTCTAGCGTTCAGTCAAAAATGACTAGACAGGGAAAGAAGAAGAAAATGCGACCTGTACTAAAGAAAACAAGCAGTCCATAGAAACCAATGGCAAGATGACCCAGATGTTGCAATTAGCAGACAGGAACTTTACAGCACTTTAAGGGCCCAAAGGAAAATATACAGCTAAGGAATGAACAGAGGGGAAACAGAAACTATAAAAACAAACCAAATGAAAATTCTAAAGCTGGAAAAAAAAAAAAGAATGAAATGAAAAATTCACTGTAGAGCCTTAACAGCAAAAGATAGCAGGAAAAGAGTCAGTGCAGTTGAAGTTAATAAATACGAATTATTTAATCTGGAAAAAAAAAAAGACTAAAAAAAAAAAATGAACAGAGCCTTGATAACTGTGGGACAATATCTAGCAGTCTAACAACATGTAACTGGAGAAAGAAAATGGGTCACGAAAGTATTTTTTAAAATAATGGCCCAAACTTCCCAAAATTAGAAGAAAAAACATCAATTTGCAGATCCAAGAAGCTCAATACATGCCAAGCAGGATAAATTTATAAAACCACTCCTAGGCAAATCATAATCAAGCTGCCAATAAAAAGATAAAAGAAAAATCTTGAAAGCAACCAGGAATAAAAAGACATATTACATATAGGATATTATATCAAATGATAGGTAACTTCTGATCAGAAATAATGGAGGCCAAAAGAAAACAAAACATCTTTAAGGTGCCAAAAGAAAAAAAAAATCTGTCTATACGGAATTAAAGAATTCTAGCAAAACTAACTTTCAAAAATGAAAGTGAAATAAAGGTAGATTCAGGGGTGGCTGATTAGCTCAGTTGGTTAGAGCGCAGTGCTCATAACACCAAGGTTGCTGATTCGATTCCCACTTGGGCCACCAAGCTGCGCCCTCCACAAATAGATTGAAACAACTACTTGACTTGGAGCTGATGGGTCCTGGAAAAAAACAAAACCACAGTTCCCCAATTTAAAAAATTGTTTAAAAAAGATAGATTCAAAAACAAAAGCTGAGGGCTGGCCAAGTGGTGCGTTGGTTAAGAGCTGGCTTGGAACACCAGAGGGCCCCGGTTCGGATCCCACATTATGAGGGCCAGTGACACTGCCCTCTACAGCTAAGATGCTGAACAACAGCTCGACCTGGAGCTGGGCTGCCGTGAGGCGTAGGCTGCAGCCCCTGCTGCAGTGGGTTGCCATGGGCTACTGTGTGTAGCCAGCAGCCAGCATGAGCGGCCAGCAGCCGCCATGAGCAGCTGTCCAGAAGCCGGCGACTGATCTGCCTCACCCGGGAAGAGCGCAATGATGGTGCCAACTTGGGCCAGTGAAGCAACGTCCTCCACAACTAGACTGAAGAACAAAAGGACAGCAACTTGTCTGTTCTCCTTCCCCCAATTCCCCAATTAAAAAAAAAAATCTTAAAAAAAAACAAACAAAAAATAAAAGCTGAGAGAATTCATCACTAACAGACCTGCACTACAATACATTCTAAAGAAAACTCTTAAAAATAAAGGGAAATGACATTAGATGGTAACTCTCAAATGTATAGAAAGAAATAAAGATCACTGGACATGTTAAATAGATGGTTAAATATAAAAAACTATTTACATATTTTTTTTAATTTAAGAATGTCTAAATCAAAAATACACAATATTGCAAGGTTTATAACTTGCAGGAAAGGAGAATAGAGAAACAAAAAACACACAAGACAAACAAAAATCAGCAAAGTGGTAGAACGAAATCCATCCACATCAATAACTACATTAAATGTAAATGGACCAAACACTCCAATTAAAAGGTAGAGACTGTCAGCCTGGATTAAAAACAAGACCCGGCTATATGCGCTCTTTAAAAAATGGACTTTAGGGACATAAGCATCATGGCAGAGTAAGAAGACTCCATTGTTTCTCCCATTAGATTTACAACAAGTTAGATAATTATAATTCAACAAAGGATCTCCTGATCAATACACAAACACACCTGAAAGATCCACACACGGGGATGTCTGAAGGTGGGGATGTCTGAAGGTGGGCATGCTGGAATGAGAAGGAACGGGAGAAGGACAGGGGAAGGACAGCGATGGTGCTGCAGATGCACGTCGGCACCCACCTCGGCTCCAGAAAGCACGGTAGCAGCGGGTGGGGAGTCAGGCTGCAGCCCTAACAACAGTCTGCAGCACAGAGGGGCAGAAGTAGTTTCCCTCCCAGAAAAGGTATCTCCCTTCCCCCCTCCACATTGTGGCAGAACCAGGTAAAAGTGGCTGGAAAGCTTTAAAACAAAATAGCAGAGCTGTGAGATGTCAAATCTGTCTCCACTACCCCATACTCCCTGGCAGAGCCCAGTAAAGCCAAAAACACAAACGAGGTAGCTCTAGGAGCTCACCAAACCATTTCTCCACCACCCACAACATTCCCCCAACAGAGTGGTGGTGACCCATAAATGAGGTAAGCTGGTCACAGAGAGGACATCCACCATCCCAATGAGTACACAGAGCTTTCCTTAACTGAAATCATACCACTTCACCATGATCCCAGAATCACAAATAGTGCAGGTAAAACAAAACAAAACAAAACAAAATTGTGTGCTATAGCACCAACTACTGGAAAACAAAAGAAAGTACCCTATCTGTCAACCTGCTGAATTGTTGAGTACAAAACAGTATCTACACAAGAAAAGAGATCACTGCTTCAAATACACAGAGAAACAAGCCATCAAATACCATGAACAACCAAGGTAACTTGGGAGCACAGAAACAAAATGAAGAGTCCAGAAACCAAACGCAGAAGTCATGGACGACCAATTTAAATGAGAATTCAAGATTGTAGCTATAAAGACATCCAACGATATGCAAGAAAACTCAGGCAGTTCAATGAACTCAAAAATAAAATTAATGAACAAAAGAAGTACTTTACCAAAGAGACTGAAACTATAAAAAAACAGCCAGACAGAAATTCTAATGCTTAAAAAGTCAATAAATGCGATGAGAAATGCAACAGACAGTACTGGAAATAGAGCAGTCCAGATGAAAGAGAATTGGTGAACTCAAAGACAGAAACTTACAAGTGACCCAGAAGGAAGAAGAGAACTAAGGGAATAAAAAAATGAAAAAACACTCTGAGAACTATCTAACTGCA